AAATGTTATGATATAACCGACATTGTTCTTCATGAAAAATTAGCGGTAGGATCAAAGAAAGAAGCTAAATAGAAAAACGCTGTTAAGTTTTAGCACTTGCATAAGGTAGGTGCACATATTAAACTTCCATGTTTACGTGAGTATGGACTCCGTAGTTACATAGAAATAGTTTTTCAGTCATCTCGAAGTCTAGGCTTTTATTTTAGTCATTCTTTCGTTTCTCTCCTTCCTTGAGGAAAGCGACCTTCGGCTCAGCAAATGGTACTGTACAATTACATGGTGCTCTGTTTCAGTATGATGAATAAAGGGAACGTCAACGAGTCAGTAAATGTAGTTTGAATATTCTCTCTCAAACCCAAGACTTAAGCTATCAACCTTGAAGAGAGTGGGAAATTCGACAGTGAATTAAGAAATCGGTCGAAAAAGAGTGATTCAAATGGAAGGAGATGACCGGCGTCCTGTACGATGACAAGATGTCAATCAACTTAGAGTAGAAGGTATACAAACCAAGAATAAGGAGATACTTTCATGCGGATCGGGATGTTTGGCAGCCCTGAAGAGACACGAGCAACAGCTGAACTCCGTAGTAGCGGGAATACTGTTGGATGTATTTTGTTAGATTTAAGGACAGTATCTAGAATACTTTAATGAGAAATATTGCAACTGTTTCTGAAAAGCTTATCGAAATTAGGCTCCGTAATTTCGATCAAGTGAAAACAAGAATATGCTTGGAATGTGATTCAGGCACTGACGATGTCAGAATGGAAGAATAGGAGGGATGAAGCAAAGTGAGGGCTTCGCACAGTCATAAAAAGAACTATGCGAGCCAGCAAGAAGTTAACGGGACAGCTAAAAAATAAAGAATAGATTCATTTTTGCCCTTCCAGAATATTATTCCAACGTAGAGGAACATGCAAAATTAAGAATGGCAGTAATGTGCATCCAGTCATTATCCAAGCTGGTTAAATACATAAAATAAATCAATAAATAATACGTGAGAAATTATGTATTCGTTCTTATCACCGTCGTCGTCATCATCGCCTCGCTTTAAATTCTCATCGCGATTGTCTTTATCGTGATCATCACTATCATCATTATAATCAAATATCGTAGTCTTCGTCATCATTTTATTTTTTACTGTTTATTGCATTGTCACAATTGTCTTATTTTTGATGTTGTTAACCTGTTCTTCATAACTTTCATCAGTATAATGATAAATCACCGTGTATGTCATTATCATCAACAGTGCTGTTGAATATTGATCATTTTCCAGGAGTGCTCTCGAGTAATTTTTAAGTTCCAGAAAATTTGTGTTTAAGCTGCGATGGCAAAGAAAGATTTGTTAGGCTGTTTCCCTCGGCTATGTGTACTGAAAGATTTTTAAGAAGACTATGAAATGTGTTAAGAGGCTTTGCGAGAAGTTGACGCTGAGTGAATATTGTTATTAGTAATATTTTCTATCTTTGTACCGTGTGAATTGTTCAGAATTAAACTTTTTGATATAAGAGCAGTAGTCTTTTTATTTTAGATGAGTCCAATCAACTGTAAATGATGGAGGAGTCATCCTGTATGCCTAAAAATTTAATCATGCGGCTTGCGTTCCATCGATGATGAATTATAGGTTATTTTTATTGTTTTCCCAGGTTCATTGCGTTGCACACCGACTGGCTGACTCATTCATTCATTTTTGTGGCCCTCTATTCGATTCAAATTGCAGACATTAATCTCATATTTCCCAACTGACCGGTCCTCCGTCAGCCGGGTGTGCTGAATTTTTTTTTGACATGTTTTATATCAAAATGAAAAAATGTTCTACTAAAAATTTATTGGCCCCTCGTTTATGAATTCATCCTAATTTCTTGTGTCATGCAAATCAGGTTACAGATCTGCCATTTTGCCTAAGGGGTTGGTTTGGGCGTAGCGTAATAGAGTTGTACATGTCACATTTACTTATGAACGGTCTTCATAAGTTTCTCACAGTTGTTTCAGATGTAAA